CCTTCCATCCACCCATCCATCCATCCATCCACCCACCCCCCCATCCACCCATCCACCCACCTACCCACCCATACATCCATCCACCCATCCCCCCTCCCCCATCCACCCATCCTCCAGCTACCCACCCATTCACCCACCTATCCATCCATCACCTGTCCATCCACCCATCCATTCACCCATCCACTCATCCATCTGTCCATCCATCCATCCATCCATCCATCCATCCATCCACCCATCTAGCCATCTATCCATCCATCCACCTATCCATCCATCTGTCCTTCTACCCATCCATCTATCCATCCATCCATCTACCTGTCCATCCACCCATCCATGTATCTATCCACCCATCCACCCATTCATCTATCCACCCATCCATCTGTCCATCCATCCATCCATCCATCCACCCATCTAGCCATCTATCCATCCATCCACCTATCCATCCACCTGTCCATCTACCCATCCATCTATCCATCCACCCATCCACCTGTCCATCCACCCATCCATGTATGTATCCACCCATCCACCCATTCATCTATCCACCCATCCACCCATCCATCTGTCCATCCATCCATCCACCCATCTAGCCATCTATCCATCCATCCACCTGTCCATCTACCCATCCATCTATCCATCCACCTGTCCATCTTCCCATTCATCTATCCATCCACCCATCCATGTATCTATCCACCCATCCACCCATCCATCTGTCCATCCATCCATCCATCCATCCATCCATCCACCCATCTATCCATCCATCCATCCACCTGTCCATCCACCCATCCATCTATCTATCCACCCATCCATCCATCCATCCATCTACCTACCCATGCTTCCATCCATCCACCCATCTGTCCATCCACCTGTCCACCCATCCATCCACCAATCTGTCCACCCACCCACCCACCCACCCATCCTCCAGCTATCCCCCATCCATCTGTCATCCCTCCACCCCCACCCACGGCTGGTCTGCCCATCCACCCGCCCACCCACCCATTCACCCATCACCTGCTCCCTCCCTATTCACCCAGCACTTCCTGGCCCTGCCTGTGCCTGGCGCTGTACCGTGCCCCCTCCTGGCCTGTCAAGTGTTCAGTCTCCATTTTTCCTGTGGTGTCCACACAACGTGGACAGGTACACGAGTACTGTCTGATGCGTGGTGACAGACCCTCTGTGGTGGGGTCATTTTAGGGACTCACGAGTGGTTCCTGGAGACCTGTAGATGAGTGGATGTGGGAGTTGGGGTGTGTGGGGCAGGCTCTAATCTCGGCCTTAGGTGGGGACTGCCCTGTCCCAGGCACAGACCTTGGCTAAGGTGTTCCAGGGATTCCCACAGCTGGTCCTGAACCAAGGACAGGGACCTTGGCCCAAGGCTTATGTAGCAAGGCCGGTGACTCCAGGAGGGCCAGCCCCAGCTGTCCCCCAGCCTGTGGACAGTCATGCCTGGCGGGGGGGGGGAGAGGGTGGCAGTGGGGCAGCTGGAGGACAGCTGTCAGATACCAGAGTGACACCATGGCAGGGGGCAGAATCAGGTGAGTGGCTTTTCAGTAGAACATGCGAATCTGGATTTGGATGTATATTTCCTTGGATTTTAAAAATATGTGGGAAATTAACTAAAAAATTAACAAGTGCTGAGCCCATCGTGGGGGGTGGCCTCCTGCAGCAGCCTCCACCTTGGGGCTCAATCCCTCTTCCAGGGCTGTGTGCAGCTGGGCCAGTCCAGGCCTTGGGCCTGCCTCCCACCCACGAGGCCCCAGCACCCGCTGTAGAGACTCCAGTGGTCCTTGGTGCCCGAGTCTGGACCGAAGGAAGGTCATGTAGCCATGTGGGCAGCAGAGCCCTGGCCATCTCTGTTCCCTTCTAAAATGATGGCACTGGCTGCCCGAGGCTTTTTCATGGCCAGGTCCCAGGTCCTGGGGTCTCTCTGCCCTGGGCCTCCCGCAGGCCCCAGCACCGCAGGCCTGCATTTCTCTATACCTTTCTCCCCGTCGCCTCCTCCCGCTGAAGGGCCACCTTACAGCTGCCAAGGCAGCGAACCCTCGGCCAGGCCCAGGTTCCTATTCCACCCGCTGCCACACGGATC